TGTGTGTGTGTGTGTGTCTGCAGCAGTGTGGAATGTTGTTTAGTCACAGTGTGTCAGACAGAGAGCGTCAGAGCTCATTAAATATTGACTGCAGTGTTGACGCCACGGTGTCCATAGCAACTGGCTCAACAGAACTTCACAACATCCGACTTGCTCTCCCATATCACCTCTATTATGACTGTTGCTCTGGCAACCCAGCTGATGCTCACTTGCTGTAATGTTCACATTTACGCATTTACCCCCCCCCACACACACACACAATGCACTGAAGCATCATTTGAAGGGTGTAATGATCAGGAATTAATAAAGGGAATAAAATGCAGTCGTACCAGCACCAGCCCTTTTAGACCAAATATCTTTAAGAACTTTGGATCCTAAGCAACTAAACCCAGGAACTGAGCCATTAGAGTTCGCTTTAACCGTTCCTGTTTGCATTTCCACTGCAACTGCGGAACAGTCTGTTTTCCCACAAAAGCATAATAAATGAATACAACAAAAAACATGCAGGGTTGGAAAAGCTGCTGACCAGCTGAGGGATTTAAAGTTTGATGTCAACTGCCACTAGATGTCACTATGTCAGACCGAAACAAATGTTTCATCAGACACACTTTCCATTGAGTTCCTGTGGTTGTCTTCACAGGGAGTTGCAGAGCCCAGTGCACGTTGTGGCTGACATAACCACAAGCACAAGTGAGTAAAGTAACAGTGTCTACACTGTTACACAGCCAGGCTTGGTTGGTGTAATAAAACGGTTCAGTGGCTCGTTGACCAGCTGATCTCCTAAATAAACGTAATCACATTACCACCTTTGTGCTCACCTGTAGCTGCAGGGTGACCTTGCCGGCCTCGCTGTTAGTGTGTCCGTGAGGAAGGAGTCCGTTGTGCTCCTGCTGCTGCTCGGGTGGCTCTCGGTTGTACGGCTCCTGGTCTGTTCTCTGAAGCATGTCCTTCACCACCTTGACCTTCAGACGACTGCGCAGAGTGATGGCTGCATTTCCTAAAACAAAACAAAAACCCATGTTGTATTAACTATTTACGAGTTAATAGTAAAGATGATCTATTTCTACAAATTACTACGGTAACTTTTATGCATTGTTGTGTCATTATAGTAAATATTAAATTGCATATAAAGCTGCATTCTACCTTCAAATACTTTGGCCACTTCAGTTTTGTATGAGTCAAACTTGAAGGGTGTCAGAAAACCCAGAGAACCGAGGTGGAACGCCATAACTGGAGGAACGCTGCCCTACAGGAAAGAAAAACAACACAGTGTCACTGTTTCTGCTGATTCCCCCTGTAATGGAAAACTTGCATATGAACTTTACTTGAACTCTTTCCTATGTCTGATCAATGCTCGTGTGCTGTGTTCAACAATA